TGATAAATGGTCCCTCATCACTAAAAGGTTAAGAACCACTGCCTTAAACAAAGGAAAAGTACGTCTTTTATGAAGGCATAGAGCCTTTACTAGATGAAAATGAAAATTAATGAATACACTGTGTATAGTAATTTACCTGATAAGACAGACCTCAGAAAAATACTTTGAGGCATAAAGCTGTCTTTATCATGAAAATTAATTAACTAAGGATTTTTTGCCCTGCCAGGGTGTGGCCAAGTTATCCTGAGTGCCGGGTTATCAAGTGCTGAGTTTTCGAGGCTCTACTGTAATAAAATTAATGACATTAATAAATAATATTAATATTAATAGGCCTAATAACATAACAATAAAAAATAATCATAACAATATGTAAATTTTTCGACTATAAATTTCGTTTATTTTATTTCGTATACAGGGTATACGAAATAAAATAAAAATTGTTTTCTGTTAATCTTTGTAATATTATCTGTAAAACCAGTATAATAAGTCCTGATAATAGATGAAAGTCAAATTTATAGTCGAAAAATTTACATATTGTTAAGGAAAAAAGGACATTGAGGCAATTTAATTAATTAAAAATAATCATAAATATTACATTGTTTTATGAAGAACTACCATCAGTTGAGAAAGAAAGACAATAAATGAAGCCAAAAGCAATCAAACAGACTTTGTTGATTATATTAATAAAATGATATTGAACCAATTACAGTAGTGTGTCGATAACCTGAATCAATTGGGGACTGGGGTTGTTCAGAAAATCGATTTTTCAGATAACCGATTATGTACGAAAAAATACATTATTAATATAATATATTAGTATATCCCAACAATAGTATATTAATACAGGTATACCTCGCCTTACGTCGGTAATTGGTTCCAGGAAAACGACTTAAGTCGAAAAACGAAGTAAGTCGAATTTACTTGTCTCCGAATCTACTTGTCACTAGAAAAAACCATAAATTACTATTCCCAGTTCTGTATTTTATTTATTAATGCATTTTTAATAATATATGGCTAATAAGAATCTATTTTAAGCTTACAAACAAATAAATTTTACAGTACAGAAAAAAGTAATCTAAATTTACGAATGCATGTCCTGTACTGTAAATGAAGTACATACTTGTAAATGTATATATTTTAATATGATTTTATGTGCTTTAAATGCTTTTCTAGTGATATTACGACTTCAATATTTGTGGCGGACGGACGTAAAGTCGAATAAAATGACTTAAACTTGATTTTTATTTTTCCGTATACTTTTTTGACAAACGACGTATAATCGGGAACGACGTAAGTCGAGGTATACCTGTATATCCCATGTTTAAATTTTTTTCTGTTGCCTGTCACTTCGTGTTGAATTTTCATCAATGTTAAGACTAACAAAAATTTTTATAATAATAATCATGGCTATTGTATTGTTGAAAATTATTTCTTTATTTTGTACAAACAAAATAAATACAGTAGAACCTCCATTATCCGGATTGTTCAAAATAAACAAGAATTTTACAAATTTGCTGATTTTCACTTGGCGAATTACGACACTGTTTATGTACGTTACGGAATGCATAACTTTTTTTGTTTCAACGACGTCTCACCCGGCACAGTGGTCGTAAACTCTTAAATATATTTTACGTAATAATAAAAATATAACTTGACTTACGTATTTATAAATAATTTATATTCAAATTACATCATTTCTATGACCAAGGGCGGCGTAAGGCATGGATGACGTAGGCCACCGCCTATGCCTCGCGGTCCGAAGGGCCTCGCGCCTCGAAGGTTTATGCATTAATTAAAAGCCGCGAATGCGACGAAAAAATTTTACTCGTCATAAAATGATAAATAGTTTGTCAAATTTTTATTCATAAAAACGCAGTTTCAACTGCTTTTTATTTTATAAAATCCGTCTTCTTGCGCCACCGTCTTCTTGCGCCACCAGAGGGCCTTTTAAACAATAGGTAGTCTGGTAGCGTTGGTCAGTAGTAGTCCAAATTCAATACGCACGTTTGTTTCTTGAAAATTTGATCACGATTTAAATATAGTATTTATTTTTAATATTACCGATATGTCATCGAAAAGAAAATGTGTTGTATTATCATTAAAAGACAAATTAAAATATTTGTTTCAATTATCCGGATTTTTCCTTATCCGGACTACCTTCATCCCTAATTAGTCCGGATAATCGAGGTTCTACTGTATATTGAAAAATATAAAAACGAAAAAATTATACTTTAGAAGTTAATCTAGTATCAAAAATGTTTGATTCAACATAACACAGTCTGACTGGAGCACTTTCAGTTGATCGACGTTTCGGTTGATCAACATTCAGATAATGATCGTTCTACTGTACTGACAAAAACCCTCTCAAACATTATATACTCCCAGTCAACAATCAATGACAACAATGCAGCCTTGCATATACACAAGCTTCTGTTAGAAGCCTCTAATCAAGAATCAGAGAACATGAATACAACATTAAGAAACACCTCACCTCCATAGCACTTGCTTTTTAGTCTTTATCTAGCTTATGCATTAGATAAACACTGAAAAGTAAACTAGATAAAGCAATCCTCCTACACCAAACAGCATACCTACAGTGATTGAATATCTAAAAAGGATTGAGATCTACAGGGCTTTTAGAAGGGTGTTTCCAGCCAATGAACTAGAATATACAGCTTAAAGTTGCTGTGACCTTAGATACAGCACTTTTGGTGGCGATGATGGGTACTATTGACTGCCATTTTACTGTAAGTAAAAGCATTGAAGTCTATACCACGTTGGTCAGGATTGTCACTTTATAATCTGTTTTTCTCATCTAAATCTAGATTGTTTCATCTCGAATTTAGCTATTTTCTATAATTTTTTCAAATTGCAGTCCAACAGTCATATGGCTGAGAGTAAAGCCCTTCAAGATCTGGCTCATACTTAAATTGTAAAAATATTGTTATATTGTGGTTAAGTATTACACTTACCACTTTAAACTCTGATCTTACCTTCTTTATAATAATTAAATAAAATCTAGAAAGATTTTATTTAATTATTATAACAAACACATGGAATTTTTTTCAGATCTCAAAACGTAGATATCTGCAAAAAACTCTGAGGGTCAAATTTGACACAATTCTAATGCTTTTTAATGCTTTATTTAAATGTTCCTAAACAAGACAAAATATTCTGTAACAATAAGTTAAATGAATTTCTAAACCACCTTAATTTTACATTCCCAGCCATTCCCATTGTTATATATACAGTGGTACCTCAGGTTACAAACGCCCCAGCATACGAAATTTTCAGGATACGACATGAAATTCGAACATATTTTTGCTCCACGATACGAACAAAAACTCACCATACGACATTACATTAGTTCGCATTTTTCATNCGAGGTGTCGGTTAATCGGGGGTCGGATAATCGAGGATCTACTGTAAAAATTAAAACATTTGTCGGTTTTGTTTACACGTTTATTGGGCCGCATTGGAACTTGCCTTGGGCCGCATGCGGCCCGCGGGCCGCGGGTTGGACACCCCTGGTTTAAATCAAAACGCGCTGTCTTAATATCTGAAATGATACACCTAATCTGATATTAAGGTACGTGTATTTTCCCGATGATCAATGGGAAAAACTGAAATTGATGGAACTAGAAAATTGAAAGGACGAGCTAATTTTATTAAAAATATTAAAATAGAAGAATGGGATGCAATGAATATGGACTAACCTCTATCTAATACAGAAAATAACGTATTATGTTATATTGCAGGCTATATATTATGGAACCTAAGAGAGAATAAGAAAATATGTAATGAATGTTTTGAATCCTATATGCTCCAAAGATGCCATTTATATAGCTACAAATGTAACAAAATTAGTATCTTTGAGTAGTTACAAGAAAAGTTTTCTAATTTATGCTGCTAAAAGCACAAATCGATTGCTTTTATATACTGTATAGAAATAAAATTCAGATCTTTGCAGAATGTTCTTTTGAAGAAAAAACAAAACTGTAAGGAATTCCGAATTGAAAATATAAATTCCAATTTTGAAATTCAGAAAATTTATTTTAAAGAATATCACAACGTAAAAAGAAAAATAATAAATCGTTTTATAACATTTAGACAAACTTTTTGGCTTAAAAAAGAAAATAAATGTAAAGCACAATAAAAAAAAAAAACGTTCTTTCGAGTAAAAGTGCAACAATGCGCATATTATCTAAAACTGTGAAATAATGTTAAGTATGATTTTTTCAAAATATAATTTGTTTTTTTTAATAATTACTGTAATGATATAACTATGTACTATAGATGCGTTTTTGAAGTTTACAAAATAAAATCAAATTTTTATATTTGTTCAAATCTTTATTTATATTTCTACACAAATTATATAAAAGGTAACGAATTAAACGAACACTATAATTTCTTTTATAATTTTAAAAATAAATGGCATTAGACCTAGTGAATAGGCGGGACAAGGCGATACTTTTGTTCTCCGAGACGTTTGGTATCATTTTGTCACGTTTACTTAATCTATTTTTAGAACAACATAAAACAACTTTAATTATTAACTTTCAAGATATTAAAAATTAAAAGAATTGGCTCGCCACTCATCGCGTCGGGTAAATGTTCATCTAAACAAATTCCAAAAATCATTAAATAGTATATTAAATAACAAATAATAATAGTAAAAATTAATTGTAAAAATCGAAAAAGACATTTATTTTCTTCCTTTAGTGGTTTCCAGATGTGGAAAACAATGTAAAGTATATAGAAAAGTCTTTCTAAGAATATTTCCAAGCCTTTCTTACACATGGGAAAGGGAGAGAGCGTTGACTATAAGTTTACGGAACTAAGGGGCGATAGCTCGAAAAAGTTTGGGAATCACCGGGTATAGAACTATATATGATCTGCATATACTTATAATTTATTATTAAATTGTATATAATGCGCAGATTACTTAATAAATCGGTGTAAATTAAAGAAACCCATAAAAAAGTTGGCTTATTGGTTAAAATTTTCTCTAGGCGTTGACGTCTTTTACCAGGAGGGAGCGCCATAAAGTGCAGATTCATTCTGAGACGTTTCTGTTACAGTTTAGACGTACAGTACGTACTTCGTGGAACTTGTTTTTGACAGTGAAAAATGTCTTTCGGTAGGTTATTTTCAATTGTACTATTTTATGTGATATATACGTATGATTTTAGACTTATTGCCAACTAATTTATGATATTTTAATAAGAATCAATCCAAGTAAAGTGTAGATCGTAGTTTACCTCATAGGCCTAACTGGAGTAAAGGAAAAGGTATCCAGCGAAAAAAGGTCTTAAACTTAATATTAACGAATAGACATAGACATATCTAGATGTAATATGATATGCTGAATCGACTGGCATTGAAAAAAATTACTTACGATCAACCGTTTAAAAGTTACGAACGATTTTTTATTTCCGGCTATTTGCTTCGTTTAAAAACAACAAAATTAAGGAATAAGCAGGCACTCATCGATATTAACAAATCGAGTTACTTTAATTCACCATAATACATTCTATCTACGAGAGAAAGTGACATTAAAAATGCTAAAATGGTGTCGTTAGCTCGCGAACACGCGTACACACGACAAGGGTGTAGGGACAACTGACACAGGGAAATTTTCCCTGACCGGTGGGAAACTTGTCGAGCGTGACATCACTTCCACAGTTCCCTACACACACACGAGCAGTAACAGAAATAGTTGACACGATAATATAATCTATACATATATATATATACACTTCCATTTATATATATATATAAATGGAAGTGTGTCCCCCTATATTTCACTTTTTAGCCAAAACTACACATCGCACATGAATGGTGTTTGTATGTGATAGTAGCCCCAAGTCTCCATTCATGCACTATGGTGGTTGCGTCTCGATAGCTATAAGGGTGCGGGAGATATAGGCTTGAAAGTGGTTGACTTCAAAGATGTGTAACAATGGAAGTGTTAAGAATGGAAATGTTAACAATGGAAGTGTTGAGTAACAAAGGAAGTGTTAATATAAAGCGGCATGCAAGATTTACAGGCGGGTTTTTGCGGGTCCTTGCAGCTAGATTCTAGATTACAGTCATTTATATATAAAAAAAACGATATTACATACAAATAAAAACCCAGCAAAGCGGGTCCTTGCAGCTAGTTATTATATATTATTTAAAACAAAAGTAAAAATTTAATAACAAATTTAGTTTTTCCCATGTTACTTCGTAACAACATTAATGTCTTTAGTTCTTCATTCCAGAAATCCGCTGTTATGCAAAAGGTCTCCAGCTTTAATTGCATTTTATATGCATTCTTTCCTCACTGTTTCACATCTAGGAGTTTATATAGTATACATACACTACACACTCGTCATTAAAGCCTTCTTACGCCCATTTTATATCACTTATACAGTGACGAACGCTTTTACCCTAAATGCTGGCTACTTTTATATGCAAGTTGAATTTTTATAGCAAATTATAATGGAAACGCAACTGGTACTTTTTTATTAATGTTAGTTTTTATTTAGGTCAATTTGTAATAAGAAAGTTGATGATCAAAATATACATGAAATGTACTGTATGTTTTAATGGTGACCAACAAGTCGATTGTAGAAGGCTCGAAAAATATTCTTAATTTTAATATAAATATTAAATGCATATTTTTCATGGAGAATTGTTTGAACTGTTAGCTATTACCTAAGGGTTGGAACCTGTGTATAAGATAAATATGGAAACTAATCCACACAAAGTACTGGTCTTTATGTGGATGGTTGTTGGTAGATTATATTATTTTAGTAATATTTTTATTCGTGTGATGTCAAGAAGTGAAATTATTTTTTGTTATGGTAAAAATATTTGTTTAGTTTATGTTTTAGTGTATTTAACAAACAGGGATAATTGTTACTTACCATGCAACGAATAAATACAATTATGTTTGGCAGCATAATTTTATTAAAGTGGATTATTAAACGATTATAGATGAATAGAGATGTGAGGTAGATAATTGGATTTTTAATTGACGACACTCGATCGCACCCTATAAGTTGGCGAGACCTTGTATATTGTACAGTTTACATATTTTATTTTCTATTAAGCTTTGCAAATAAATACTTTCAGTATGATTTCTGCCGTAATATATGGAATGTATAAATTTGACATTGTCTGTTTTCATCAACCCCCATGGTTACTATTTAAGAGCGTTTATTATTTCGAACTGTAATGGAGAGATGTGGTTACTACTTTGTGCGGTTATTATTTATATAAGACCTGTATACAGTAGGGACGGGTTGCTCAAGTCGTATCCCATAAGAAAAATTAAGTATAAATTGTAAAATCTTTTAAATAAATAAGAATTGTTTTATACAAAACTTTTGTGAAGTTTTTATTTATTATGATAAAATTCGAAACGCCTGTACCTTTTAAAATGAAGTTAGCAAAACTAATTAAACTAAAATTGGTACGACTAAGGAAATCAGTTTCCTAAGTTAGTTAGTTACTACACCTACAGCTTAAGTCGTACCTAATATTAAAATTAAACAAAAACAACTGAAGTTTATATTTCTTAAGTAATGTATTTAAATATAGGGGAGATCGGGGCAAGATCGGCATGTTAAGCTTTACTTAAATTTTGTGTAATAAATACTGCTGTAAACTGAAAAAAAAGCTTTGCATATTGTCTATTGGAATGTTACCTTACTATAGAACTGGTTAAAATCAGTTTGGAAATAAAAATAATTAAAATAATTACAACTTTACAAGAAGAGAGAAATTGACGAAGTTGCCCCGGGTATAGGGGCAAGATCGGCAACTTCTCTCTTTTTGTAAAGTTGTAATTATTTTAATTATTTTTATTAAAGTTG